TCAGATGCAAGTCAAAGTGGAGCAGGTGTGAGTTTGGTAAACATATGAGCTCAATGAAGATGTCTAAAGGGATAAAAGATGCAATAAAGTTATGGATTTTTAATATTAAAGAAGAATATTGCATTGGCCAAAGGTTTGGAAGTGAATTGGGGAAGATCCATCCTTTTGAGGAGTGAAAAAACCCAGAGCCTTCTTTCTTCATCACATTTAAATCTGTCTTGCTTGTTTATTCTGCTTATCCCTGTAGGATCATTTGTCATCTGCATTTGACCCATTCTTCGTTGCCGCTAGAGACTGTCTGGAGCAGTGGTTGCTGTGGTAGAGAAACAGGGGAATTCATCTCCACATATTGATGCTCGGTTTGAGTCAGAACAACCGTTTTTAGTACCAGTGGATATCCTGAAGCACCCGGAGGACACCTGCAGAGAGACAGGGAGACTGTGCAAACTCCGCTCACAAAGGCCCTGTTCCTTCTTGCTGAGAAGAGAGCGCCAACAAAACTCTCAGATATGACTTAGTCCAGTAAAGTCACTAAAGTAGAGCGGAAATGTAAGGGCCATCTACAGTTTCCAAATCCAGGTTAAAAAGTACTGTGTAGCTGTACATACAACTGAAGGACTTTGTTTACTCTTTGCGGCTATTTAAAAAAAAAGTAAACATAAAATCTATTATCTATATCTCCTTCTCTTGGCTTTTCACTGTTGCCATTTATGATTTTAATCCTGTGTGTGTTTTGGATGTTTTAAGGTTTTTAACTACTTATGTGATTTTATTCTGTTACTAATATTTCCTGTAATCTTAATTTTTGCTTTTAATTGACGTTTTTATGTATATGTAGATTTTAATGTTGATGATTTGCTTGATGTGATGTGGGTTTTGAGGCGCTTTGCCTTGTGGCGCTCTACAAATAAAAGTTTAGTTTAGTATTTACAAATTTACTAGAAGTTTATTTCAGACAGTCAAATTGACAGCTACAGAATACATTTCAACAGAAACAGCTTTGACATTAATACACTTTTTTAAAGCCAAACCCAAGTTGATTGGTTGATTGAAACAGCCTGCCTTCTAGGTCTAATGGAAATAAAACATGCATATGCCTGACACACACATACACACACACACACACACACACACACTCCCATTGTCATTTCACTTTTCTATTACTTGCTGAAGACAGTATCGCAGCCTTATCTGGCAACAGTGCAGACTTACTGATGATAACTAAGCTTTAAGATTACAGCTGCATTTTTAAACTTGCTGAAGGACATGCACGAAGAGAGCAACGTTCCTCTATCACAAATGTCTGCTCCCAAACGTGGGAAAAACAAACCCATTAATACTTTTTAGCTGCTCCAAAACGAGGATTTAGCAGGAATTGGTCACACTTAAGTGAATACCCAGCTATGTTCAACTAAGCTGAATATGCTGATTCGATGCTATAAACCTATCCATTTGTCATAGCAGATTAATTTTGGCTCCTTCGTGGAAACTCATTTTGCCTGCATGAATGAGTTTTTTCATCCTCCTTAAAATCCAATGAGCTCTTAAATGTCAGGGGTACAAGTAGAAGGCAAGGTTACGGCATATTCACAAGAGGGACGATATGAAGGAGAGAAAGACCATCAGAAGTCCCCCGAGGAAGTCAGATTATAAGTGGGAAATAGTGCTGCTTGAACGAATGGTGAGTGATGCTATATAAGACCAGTACCACGAGGAAACCATGGTAACATAGGCAGGAATAGACTTATTAGCAGATGTGATAAACAAAGCACTCGCATGTTATTGACGTTTTAATGTCTTGATTGCTGAGTACTGTAATTGGTTGTAAATTTTATGTTGTTTTAATTTGGACAGAAGTTATGCTATGTTGTACTGAGAGTTTTTATGATTGTACAACATTATTCATACAACTGTAGTCAAGGAAACAAAAGTTGAAACTAGTTTGACTGGCTTTCAGAGCCTGCCGAAACAAAAGGTATCTTGATGTACGTGAGACAATAGGATATATGTCCTAAATCAGCCATTCCCAAACTCAGTAACACCGAGGCCCCCTTAAAAATCTGACGGGTCTGCGTGGCCCCCCAAAATAATAACCAAGAAGACAACATTAAGAATAGGCTCTTCTGGTTATTTTATTTTGGGGAAATAGCCTCTGCTACAAACATTATAATACAAAAATGATTACAGTGGATTATTCAAGTCAAATAATGAACACAAATATTTTAATATTACAAACAAAACATTATAAATTTAACATTAAATAATTATATTATATATATATTTTTTTTATGACCTCCCGCGGCCCCCCTGCAGTACCCTCGCGGCCCACCAGGGGGCCGCGGACCCCACTTTGGGAGACACTGTCCTAAATTATGTATAATAATGAGAAACATCCATCCATCCATCCATTTTCTTCCCCTTAATCCATTTCTGGGTGGGGGGGGGGGTGGCAGTCAGAGCTGCACCCAGTACACATAGCACCAGCCCCTCACTGATCCTCCTGCAGGTGGTGAGTCCACAGGAGCTGAGATCTTTCAGTTGGGGCTTTGGGCAAAGTGGGGTTAAGTGTCTTTCCCAAGGACACAACGACAGCAGTCATCAGTGGGAGTCGTGAAGTAGGTCTTACGGTGGGCTCGAACCCACGACCTTCAGGCCCAAACGCCAATGCTCTACCAACTGAGCTACTATCGCCCTATGAGAAACAATGCTAACAAAAAAAAAAAAATCAATACATTTCTAAAAATCATTTTTTGCAAACTTCTTGTTTAATTCTTCTTTGGAATAATTCCATGTTGAAAATATTTTCATATTGGGGAATATCACAACCACATGGAACAAGTGCAGGTCATTTTTGTTGAAAAGCGAAGCTAGAAAAGCATTCAAAGGTAACCAAACATTATTAATTGTCCCATATCCTTAGACTGTCCTGCATCAGTAAAAAACAACTCAAAAACCCAGTGGGAAAAAAGTGAGAAACTAAAAACTCCAATCACATACATAATAAGTTTGGTGAAATGTCTTGCCCATTGATCCACGAGCAGTGCACTGATTGGAACTGCCGATGACAGTTCGTATACATGTACATTCCCATCTCTAAGACTACAGTTTCCTTCCACGCTCACTTCTCTCTGTTTTATTCATGGGCGAAGAGGCTTAATAGACTCCTCTCTGATTATTTCCACCATTTGATCTTGTAAGTGGACCTGTCAAGCCGTGTCTGGAGATTGTGTGACAGGTATAAGTGAGTAAAACCTGTACTTATGTCGGTGAATGGAGTGTAGATGAGAGCTGCTCTGTCGGCGCAGAGCCCACGGGAGACATTCAGAGTCACAGAGCTGAGATCAGTGACAGGTGAAAGGCCGGACCACCGCAACCGGAGGAGATGGAAGAGAGAGAGACTGCGAGAGCTGCAATTCTACTTTCAAAGACGACGTGTACATGATGCATCTTTAAGGGACTAAGCTACAAAACTGGGACCACATCTATGTACAGTATATCAGTGAACTTATTTCTATTCTCAATCTTGTACTGAACCATGGCAAGACATTAAAACTAGAGTTGAGTAAATTTCAGAGCTTTTCCAAGAGTAGATTGTAGTAGATATGTAGAACTATGTAGATTTTCGGTGTTTAGGAAGACTGTATGGGAAACCAAAAGACATTGTAAGAATGAAATTGACTCTAAAAACTCATGTGGAAGAGTGAAATCAAAGCTGTTACTCAGCTCAGGGGACACATCTCTACCAACTGAAGTACGGCCGCTCAAAAAACAACAATGTAAAAGAAATTCATGTTTTTTTTTTTATACCTCTCTCACCTGTCCAGCAGTTTCAGCTCACAGTATGCAAAATATTAGATAATATATGTTTGTGTATGCTCTAAGTCGTACAGGGATAGTCAAAACAAAGGATGGTTTCTCACCCATCATCTGTACTTCAGTTAAGATGAAAGTACACATGATGGGTGAGAAAACTTCCTTTGATTAGATAATATAATAAATAAAGAAACTAAATATTCCAAGACACTTTCCAAGACGGGAAAATCCAGACAAACAGTATTGTGCAGAGATGAGGACCTCAGTTGAAAAGTGACCTGGGCCGTTGCTGCTAATCAATAAATGTGAAATATGTACATATAGACAATGAAATCTTACATTACACAGGTTGTGCAAACAGTATAGCCAGGCAAAAAAAGCAAACAAACATTGGTTCAAACGCAAGCTGGGCTGCTCTATCTCTCACTGTTCTACAACTACAACAGAAACCAGAGTTTGCTTGAAATCAGAGATAATACAGACGCAAATGTATTGACGATTATAAAGCATTCTCCCACTACATACATTTGCACATCCAAGACTAACTGAAACCAATGCTAGCACCCACTTAATTCCGGTTACTTTTCTGAAGTTACTTTTGAACTGCTGAATCGCCCCAACTATTCTCTATCTTGTACTGCACCACGGCAATAAAAGTCATAGAAAGTCAATCCTAAAACATTCCAGATTGGATGAGAATGAGATAATAACAGACTCTTGATCAGCGTTTACTGTAAATACCTTTGAATTCAAGTTCTTCATATTGTGTGATCTTAATGGTTGTTTTGAATGCCCTGTTTTTATGGTTTAGGACAGGGGCCTCCAACCTCTTTCAATCAGAGAGCTACTTTTATACATACATCAGAAGAGGTAGAGAGCTACTCCTTTTTGCAGTCAATAAAAGTGAAGGTAAAAACAAAACATGGAAACTAATACTTTATAACCCTATATTTACTCTTAAATATGCGTAGTGACTCAAAATGTATTCATTCAAGATCATGTGTAAAATTCTAAATTCTTTGGGGAGCTACTGGTTGGAGACCCCTGGTTTAGGATTTATTCCTCAAGTGATAGGGGCTGTGAAGCAACTTGTGTTTCCTTCTGTAAAGCACTCTACAAATATATGTTGATTGATTGAGTAAAACCAAAAGCGTGTGACAATATTTAGGTTGCAGTTGCGTTCCTACCCGGTGTGGGTCGTCGTGCGCTCTCCGTCTCTGGTCCAGTTCTTCGTAAGGAGGGACCACCCCCTCTCTGCGTGCCTGCTGGTACTCCCTCCTGAGCTGCTGGATCCGGTCCACACTGACAACACAACACGACACGACCACATTGAGAAATCTACAGACTGTAAAAAATGTCGTTCATCTGTGAATAGTAAATACTGTAATCATGTGCCATACTGCAAGTTCAGAATGTCCACTGAATGTCACTTTATCTGAAATTGACTTTATGACAGCAACCAAAAATATCACACTGCTAAGACTCTCTAGACCCTATTAAAGACCCTATTAAAGGGATAGTCTAGTCATTTCTATTCCATGGTGTAGGCCCAGATTAGTCATGCTTTAGACCTGGTTTTAAAATGGTGATATAGTTAATACGTATGTATGTATGTCATCTTTTAGTCATACATGTGAATGAGACTGGTACAACTCTTTCATAAATTAGTCCAAATCAAATTAAAACCTAGAAATAAATTGGCAGAGACAAGACCAACATCATCATCAAAGCAGGACACGCGATCCGGACCGAACAGCAGTGTCACAAATCATTTCACTTCTAAACCCACTCAGTTCAAACCGACAAGGTTAAATGTGACTTCTGTTTTTTTTCATTTTTGTTTAAAGTTTACAGAAGCGGTTTGACTTAATGACAATATTAAGCCCTAACGAGCCGAAGAAGACGTTCTCATTACCAGACCAGAACACAATGAACTGCTGCGGAAAAATCCATCTATGCTAATACAGCCAGTAATTAGCTAATGAAGCTAGCAGAAGGAAAACAGCACTTACACCATTGGCACTGAAATCAACAGGAACATGTTTTTTTGGCCTTGTTAGCTCAACCTGGGTCAAGACCTGCCTTCGTTGGAACACTGTGTTTATTATAATGAGCAAAAAAAAAAGCAAATGGAAAAGAGTTTCAACAGAAAACTACAAATAATAAAGTTTTGGCCAGAGTGCATAATACACTTCCTAAAAGCATTGATCATTTAACAAAGAAAAAAGTGGAAATTATTTGGAACCATGGCATAGTTTACTTTTGAATGTGCTGGAAACGGCAGCGAGACCTAAGTGTCTATGAATGAGGTGTTGTTTTGTGTTTTACAATTGTTATTTTTCTTGCTTTTTTCTACCTGAGTTGTTGCTGCAGTACAGTGTTCATGGTTTTGTATTAGTCCAGACCAGAGTGGAGAGGATTCATGGTCCAAACCAAGCGGATCAGACCAAAAATCCACTGCTAACTTTTTTGAAAAAAAATAATTAAGCATTTAGCCTTTTACTTTGGACCAGAGCAGAGAAAATGGTCCGAACCAAGCATCAATCTCTGCTACCGTGACATAAAGTGCTGTTGTTAGCTTTTTGAAAAATCTTTTTGTGTGGATGGATGTTTTTTTGCTGGACACCTGATACGGGAATCAATGACATTTCCTAAACATTCCTCTTGCTCTGGCTTCAATTTCTTTGTATTTGGAATTGAACCTGAACAGATTACTTTCCAATCGCATTCGCTGCTATTGACAAACTACAACCAGTAAATTCAATGCGAACTCTTGACGTCACCGACACCTACCTACAACACCCGCCTCCCCCGCTCGAAGAATGGTCAGAGGGGATTCAACCGAGGAAACTGCAGCCACTAGGATCAGACCCAGACGTACATGTAGGAAATGATCATGGACCAGAGTTAACAGATGACAAAGGCCAAGCTAATTTTTTATGATCCTGGTGTTTATTTATATATTGTAAATCCAGATATGAGCCATAAAAGGATTGACCAATGAGATGGCTTAATTCACCGGGGAAACTCCAGCCTGCCTTAGCAACACATCTGCCCCTGTTACAAATCTAACACAGGGGAAGAAAAACCCATAAGGAAATTGGTGCCAGCTAGTTTATGTTTATTGAGGATGAAATTAATTGCTGGGTCAGGGTGATGACACAGCATTGATCTTTCAGCTGAGGCTTCAGGCAAAGTAGGGTTTAGTGTTTTGCCCAAGGACACAACGACAGCAGACATCAGTGGGGGTCTATGGAGAAGGTCTCGTGGTGGGATCGAACCCACAACTATCAGGCTCAAAAACCAATGCTCTACCAACTGACTGCAACCCCCCCCCCCCCCCCCAAACCCAGAAATGGATTAAGGGGAAGAAGATGGATGGATGATTAATGTGTACCATCTCAACTTAAATGAACTAATAAAATACTATAATATACAAACTTTCTGTGCGCCTATGGGTAACTTTAATGGTAACTTTAAACCTTTAAGACTCGAATGTAAAGTTAAAGTTATTAGACGCCCTTTTTCAACCTGTCTTCTTCTCTTTTGTATTCACAGCGTCAACACAAGCTCCCATTTACATCAGCTACTGTTTTACCCATTCCGACTCTATCTATGTCCTTTCACTGACCCTTTGCTTTATGTCCAGAGGCTGAAAGACAGTGTAATTTCTGCGGCATTAAAACATATTAGATCCAGCCTCATTTTGCAGATAAAATCTCCTCCAAACTATGGCTGCTGACACATACTACCTCTCCATTACCTTTAGTTAAAAATCTACTCATCTATCTTTAATGCGGCGGCTTGGTGTAATTAGGAAAATGCAGGGAAAGTTATTGGATGTGGCCAGTGTTGTGTGAGTGTGCGCTCCCTGGTTTCAGTTCATTTTTTCCTATCAGCTCTTCTACCCAAGGCTCTGGAGTGGCATTGGAAGGCAGTCACATTAGTATGAAGTATAGAGAGGTGCATTAGGGGAAAGTATAATCTAGTTTTGGGTGTGTGGCGAGGCGGCGTGTGTATGAGCCGAAGGAAGCGGTGTCAGCAGTAACGGAGATGTACTGAGCCAAAAGCAGAGGAGGGGAATAAGAGGCTTAGGTTCACCTGATAGAGTCGCTACACTGCAGTTTAGACCGTGGTTTAGCAGTGTGGGCTACGTCTGTGTGCAGCAACAGAAAATTGAGATTTAAAAAGTGGTACATGTTGTAAAGAATCAAATTGTGATTGAAACTAAAAGAGGTGGTTTCATTTATGTTAGTTGTTTCAGTTGTGTTTGATCCTGTGTAGTATAGTAAGTAAGTAATGTTTATTTATATAGCACATTTTACAGACCAAGGTCAAAATGCTTTCCAATTTTTTCGAGTTCAGATAGTTTACCATTCTCTCCACGCACGGTGATGACAGAAGCGAGACGCCGAACACACTGGCGCATCAAAGCCCCCACCAACACCATTCATTCACCCAGTCATTACATTCATACCTATTGTGCATGTTTTTAGTGGTGGCGGAAACCAGAGCACCCGGAGGAAACCTACTCAGACACGGGGAAAACATACAAACTCCTCTCAGAAAGGCCCTGTTCCGACCAGGATTTGAAGCTAGGAACTTCTTGCTGAGGAGTTTTTTGTTATTTATTGTTGTGTTTTTGTTTTGTTCTTTTTAGGTTTTTTTTAACTATCTAACCAGGGCAGCTCTAACAGAGGAGACAGTAGAAACCCTGCTGATGTTCACCAACTTTTAATGATTTTTTTTAATTCTCATTTGTAAAGTTTTTACTCTGACATTGTTGATTGTGTTTGACTGTGACGATTTGTTCAAATAAAACTTTCATTCATTCATATTCTGTCTAGTGAAGAATGTACAGCTTTAGTCTGTTTTTTTTTAGCTGATTTACTTCACAAAGCATTGGAAGGTCAGTTTTACCAAAATGTTACAATAAAAGACTTTTTCAATGCACTAAGATTTCTACGACTCTTGGATATGCACCTTAGAATTATTCAATTTCATTTATTTTTGTATAGAAGAATCAAACAGCTCGAACATAGAAAATGCAAGCACAGCAAACACACAGGAACCAATGGCAATAAATGTCAAAAATGCGTACAGGTGGTTGACAAACGCTGACTGTTTATGCCAAACTGGACGAGAGGCATTGGAAGGATGGGTCAAATGCAGAAGACCTCACCGCAAACTATCTGTGTCATTTTTACAGTTGCTCCAAATGAAAAAAACAAAAACAATTACAGTTATAGCTTGAGACTTTAGGCTTTTACTTTTAGATTAAAACAAAAAAGTTACGAAAAGGGTTGTATCATAGTGGATCTCTCCTTCACTATGGTTCTCCCCAAGGTTACTCTTTATCCCCATTGATTTTGTTGTTTAAGAACGGGGGAAAAATCATTGCACAAACTGTTTAATCTTTTTTCTACCTGTGACTGTTGTACTTGTTTGTGTGCAATTTTAATACAGTATGTTATAAGGTAATTTGATACATCTGTTTTGTTGTTGGAACGGATAACTATTGATTTGATAAATACCCTCAACCTACCGCTACATATTCCTCCAGCGCAGTTTGGAACATAGCAACAGTATTGGACAGACCGTATAGCGTGACACACAAGAGAACGCATTCCTCAAGTCATTCCTTCATTTTGCTGAGCTGGCTCATGTGCAATCTGTTATCGCCCCCAAGACATTCAAGCTGTAGTATTCAAATGGTGCATTGTGACCAGCACACACATGAACATGGAGCAAGAGAGATGAGATAAATATGAGAAATAAAATAGTAAAGCAAACGTCAATGCACCAATCTGAATGAAATGAAGACAAGAGAACAAAAGCAGTTACAAGCCTAAAACGCAGATGAAATCCTGGGTAGAGCCTGGTCCTATCCACATGCCATTAATTTAGTCCAGGGCAGGCTACACCTACACGCTCATAAATGTAAAGAGTGCTTTGCAGGATTTATGACCGCATATAAAAGAGCGCGGGTCGGGCTCGAGGTGGAATATAAACATGATAAACAAAGACATAACGGCACACACCCACACCAGCGTTTCCATGAAGATGCTATCGATTAGCCTCCCACAGACAAACAGGTCGTGAAAAAGCACTCTTAGCACGTATGACTTCTTGTGCTCATTAAAATAACATTGTCGGATGCCAGAGCACGAGTCCGTGTCCTGGATGATAATGAGATATTTGTTTAGCTTTAAATATCTGCGAGAAATGTTGTTCGAGTTGACGACAACAAAGATATGAGTAGATTTTGTATTTTCAACAAAAAACTAGAGCCAGAAGTGTTT